TTAATTTCAAAATTTTAAAATTAATCAAGATAGTATAAATTGATTATTAAAAAAATATTTCTTTAAAGCACCATCCAAAAAATATCACGTATTACCTTAGCACTAATTAAAAAATTTCCCATGTTAACAGTAGTAGATCTATAGTGTGAATTCGGAATGAAAGTGTAACTAATTGAGTTAACTAATAAATTATCATTAAAAAAAAAAGCAATACAACAATAAGACTACTATCTATTTATAATTTTATTATTAGTAGATTGGATTTGGCTTTTCTTATATGGAGAATTCAATTTGAGAGAGTATTTGGGCTTAATGGGTCCATTGTGAGTCAAACCTCAATAATCAAAATCATTTATTTTTTAAAATTCATTGAGAAGAATATTCATATAAAAAATAAGATCATTAGATTTCAGTAATTATAGGTTTGAATCACATTTGTATTTAAAAAATAGACGGTTATTCTTAAAATTATGCTTAAAAAAAATTTAGTTGACTTTTTGGAGTTGAGACTTTTTTAGCTTGGTACTAAAAAGTTTGTTTGAGAAGAACTTTTGGTTTTTTTTTTTTAATTTTTATGAGAAAAAAATGAAATGATTAGAGTTTGGATGTGACATTTTGTCTATTGACTTATTTAGGAGTTATTTGGGAAGTACTAGATTACTTTTTGACTTTTTACGAAAAAAAGTTAAAATATGGGTTGTGTTAAAAGTGAAGCAGTAGAGAGGTGGTGTGATTTAATTAAGATGATTGTGACCTAAATAGAATAATGTGGTAAAATAGCATGTGCTATTTTAGCACCTGCCAAACAACCACTTAGGCTTCGTTTGGGAACATGCTATTTTAGTAACTTTTTAATTTTTTAACTAAAATATGAGATAAAAAAACTAGTATGTTTGGGATGACTTTGTAATTTTTTTACGAAAAGATGTGCAAAAAGTAGAGATAAAAGAGAATCTTGATTTTTTAGTATAGGTTGTTAGCTTTTTAATTTTTTTAGTAATTTTTTGATTTTTAAGTTAAAAAGTGATGCTGCCAAACGAAACCTTAGTCTATTTTGTCTTGTGTCCCAATTGAGATAGCTAAACGAAACCTATATTTGCCGTCTATTTTTTAAAGATAAATGTGATTTAAATATATAACTACCAAAATCTAATAATCTTCATTTTTATATAAATATTCTTTTCAAAGAATGCTAAAAAATAAATAGCTTAGACGATCATAATTGGGTTCAAAATGAACCCACTAAGGCCGAATGCTCTCTCAAGTTGGATTGTGAAGATAAGAAAAGCCAAATCCTAGTAGATAATCACGTTAAAATCCTAGTAGATAATCACGTTAACCATAGTAGATCTATAGAGTGAATTAAGAAAGGAATTGAAATTAATTGCAGTTAAGTAACTAATTGTTGTTTGGAACGAATCAGAATATTGGCGAACAGGCAATCAGCTCAGAGGTCAAGAGTGAGGAAACTTCAATACATTTCCGAGCTCGAACGGAGTGTTACATCTCTACAGGTTTTATTATTTATTTATTTGCATATGTTATATCTCTACAGTGTCACATGGTCTTTGATTTGTTTATTATTAACCGATGATTGTTTTTATGCTTTTTATAATGCAAAAAATTGAAGAATGAAGTATCGGCATTGTCACCAAGGGTAGCATTCTTTGATCATCAAAGGTTCATTCTTAATGTTGATAATAGCGCTCTTATTTCCATTTCTAAGTACTTAAAATCTGCATCGAGACAAGATTTTCAAAGATGGTAACGCTTTAATCATCAACTTAACTATTTATGATTTAAATCGAAATCTAAACTTGTTTGATATATTATTTTTGTGTTTAAAAGATTCAAAATTGATAAAATTTTAAAATTTTAGAAAATAAAAAAATAAAAATGTTTTCGAAACAACCGCCGCCCATCAGGCAATTTCTAGCCGCATTTTGATGACTCTCCCATGATTGCTGACCTTCAACCAGTGGCGGACGCACAGAGGGTTTACGGGTCACGTGCCGCTCTAAGTTTTGGAATAATTTTTTTTTTTTTTGTGGTAAATATAGAAAATATTTTAAATAAAAAAAATTATAAAATATTATTTAGACTAAAATGTCAATGATATTTTTAAAATTATGAGATTAATAATTGTTATTTTTGATTGAAAATAAAAATATTATGATAAGTCATATTATTATCTACAAAAATTTCAATACAATGATGATGTCTATTATTATTGATATGTAAATATAATTAATCTCAATGAATATATGAAATTTATTGAATTGTTAGTTATATTTGACATGCGAACTTTGTCCTCTATGTATTTCTTTACTATTAATTAGTGATATCATATGTCAATGATGACGTGATATTATTATTATATCAATTTTTTATGGAAATTTTGTATAAAAAAATTATTTTATCATTATATAATTTATTTTAAAACTTATATCCATGACCTTTTTTTATTTTTTATTTTTTTATATTATCTACCGCCACGGCCTTCAGCTATACTCTGACCACCAACTCTAGCCTTGGTCATCATCTCTAGCAACTCAATAAATATATATTTTTATTTTCAAAATATTTATATACACAAACCAAGTTTTTAAATCTTTTTTTTTTACAATAAAAACAAAATTATTATAATATTTTTTGGTAAATTGTTTTTAAAAGTTTGTTTTGGAAAACCCTGCAAAACAACTCAATTTTTAAAAAATTAAAAATTAATTTTCATTTTTCAATAAATAATTTTGCATAAAAATGACTGTAGAACCAAACTCTGGAGAAAGGAACAGAGTTGAGATTCTCTCATTGGACTCTCTTCTTATCTTCCTATTTGTAATGGTGAAGATGCACTTTGAGTTAATCTAATTGTTCAGATTTAGCTATTTAAAAATAAAAAAAAATAAATAAAACAAATTCAACTTTGCTTTTCCCTTCCAAATTTGGACTGTTGAATTAACTCAAGGTGCATCTCCACCATTATAAATAGGAAGGGAAGAAAAGAGTTCAATGAGAGAATCTCATTGAAGGAACAACTCATATTGACTTTGTTTTTTTTTTTTTAAATCTATTTTCTTTTTGTGATATATCATGGCCATTTCTTCAAAGGTTTATGTAACATTCACATGAAAATTTCTCATTTTAAAATTGTTTGAGATTTTGTTAATCTCTCCCTCCCTTTTTTTATTTTTATTTTTTTTGTTTGTTTGTTTTGTTTTGTTATATGGATATATATAATTGGCAGCTCATCAAGAAGCACTAAAAAAAGAAATAGAGAGATTGAGACAAGTGTACCATGAGCAGAACTCTATGAAGATGGCCACCACAGCCACCACTCCAGCACCACCGCCAACCTCTGACAACACTGGTTGTACGGACACTGATGATCAATTTCTCAACAGAGATAAATAGAGAGGAATTGGGATCCTCCCCCTTGAGTCCCCTCCTTAATTCCTTCCTTGCAGGGGCCTTTGGGTCCACTTTGAGGCCCAGTTTTGATAATCCGAACCGTTAATATTTTTAGATTTATTCAGTATATCATACCTGTAAAAAATCAAATTGATCGAATATCATAAAGTATGTGTTCGGAAAATTGTTTATTAAAAAATAGTTTGTAGTCCCAATTTTCTGAACGCATACTTTCTGATATCCGATCAACTTGATTTTTTACAGGTATAATATACTGAATAAATCTAAAAATATGAACGGTTCAAATTATCAAAACTGTGCTTCAAAATGGACCCGAAAGCCCCTGCAAGGAGGGAATGAAGGAGGGGCTCAAGGAGGGGATCTGGACTAAGAGGGGGGGGGGGGGGGAAGGAACAGAGAGAGAGAGAGTGAGAGGTTGTGGTGCATTCTGCTAACCTGCGCATTCACGTGATGTGTTCAAGTGGACCCCTTTGACAAGCTTTGCAACAATCCACTATTTATTTATTCACAACAAGGGTGTTTTAAAATTGAAGGTGCAGTTTCAAATTAGAACTATCAGGACATATTGATATCGATCAAGAGTATTGAGCGATAATTAAATTGATTCTAATTAATATCTAAGTAGTCTCTCATTTTGTATATATTGAATAATTATGGATAATTATAAAGGAGAAGGTAAAAGGGGTTGATTCCATTTGTGCTTTCTTGTATCCACCTTTTTAAGATTTGGAATTAATTTTAAAATCCTGTGGGTTGGGAAGTGGTGTGGGCTCTGTGTTTCTCTGTACTGGGACGTATGAATGAAAGTTGAAGTTGTCAGAATAGGGAAGTTTTTGGTTCGTCTGATTGTTTTCAGGGGAAATCAAATGTCAGTAAAGAGGGGAAGGTACAAGATTTGTTTTTACACAATTAAAGTATAAATTATTTATAGCTTTATTATTTTATAATTATTTTTTTACTTTTTATTTTTTTGAGTTTTTCCCTTGTTTTTAACTTGTCATGTATTCGTTTTTAAAAAAAATTAAAAGTGTGTTTATTAAAAATTTTTTTGATATTTTGTGAGATAAATTTTTAAAAAAATTTGGGAATGAGTTAAAATTTTTTTTTTTGATTCGTTTGGTTATATATTTTGAAAATAATTTTGAAGTATGGGATGATTTGATATTTTGTTGTAGTTGAGTAGATATGTGTGAGATAAAAAGTGATTGAGAAGGAGAAAAGAGAGAGAAAAAGTGATTGATTAATGTGTAGGAGATAAAAAATGATTTTGAAATTTTTTTTTCTAAAATCACTAAACCAAACAAAATTTTTAAAAATTTTCTTCAAAATTTATTTCTCAAAAACGAGCCAAAAATACTGTACTTCTTATATAAATCACAAGTTCCACATTAAATTGTCATATATCTTTCGTCTCTGCTCTTAAATTTACGTATCTACCTATCTGAGAACACTTACAAACTTTTAAATCATTAAAAATCTCAAAATATCAAAATCTAAAAACACGATCTAGTAAATATTTTGAGACAGAAAAATGAGATTTGAAAAACAAAGACCTAAAGTGGAGTCCACTAGTCCCCTGCGTGTGCAGAAGATCTGGGAGTTTCAGCATCGCTAACTCTTGTCGAAAATCGTTTCCTTCGAAGCAACCAACATTTGATGAAAGCAAACATTAGAATCCAATTGGTTTTGTGCTCGCGCATGGAATCGTCGAGCTTCCTCTGCCGAACAACAACGTAGATCAGCAGAGCAAAAGTCGATGTTCCCCCTGTTAATATGAATAGTGCGAAGAAGCTGTTTGGGCAAAGACTCATCACAGTGTCGGAATTTGGATCCACGTCCACGCAACTCTCTGTTGAAGCCATGTTGTCCTCTAACTCTCGGAGCTTGCCGGTGTCGATCACATTTGCCAGTGCTTCGTTTATGCCCGGTAGTATTGGAGACCCCTTCGGAAACACCTGAGATTTGCGCAAACCCCCCATGATAAGCTCGATTTTACCATATTTTGTTCAAATTCATTGAGATTGTGGAAGAAAAGATTGGAAAATCTTATGGATTTTAGCATCGAAAATTTATTCCCAAGCTAAGGTCTATGACGCAAATTTAAAATTGATGGAATGTATGTTGTATTTAAAATAATTGTTTTTTTTTTTTTAAATATTGTTATTGTTGAAAAAGAAAACGTAAAAGTGATTTAAAAAAAGTCGTTTTAAGATTTGCGAGAGTAATTTTACACGAAATGAAAATGATAGGATTTTTTTATTTTATATTTATGTTTGTTTTTTGAAATCATGAAAAACTAAAATGAAGAAAACGGAACCAATCCCCTGAGACCCTATAATTTATGTCTCATTGGAGTCAGAGAAAGGGAAAAAGAGAAAAAAAATAAAGCAAGTTACATTTATTATTTGAGATTTAAAATATTCATATAATTAACTTTGGGTTTGTTTAGTACGTGGGTTGATTTTTTTACTTTTCAATTATTTTAACTTGAGATTAAATAGTTTAGTTTTGAATGAATTTTTTGATTTTTTTAATTTTTATAAAAAAGAAAATAAAATGATTATAGTTTGAATGTGATATTTTATCTAATTGACTTTTTAACCTATTTATCTTTTTTGTAACTATTCTAGTCCCATAATTTGATGCCAAACAAGTGCTTTATAAATTTGATATAATCACGTTAACATCCATCTTAATAAGAAATTAAAAGAAACCGGTGTAGGTGGTGTGTAATGGATAATTGAATATAAAATATATATTTTAGTGTAAAAGATATGACTTTATAATTATGACTAGCAAATGACTCGTGAAAAGGAAGACTGGTGTAATGTAAATATTTTTTTTGGGTAATTTATCTAAAAAATGGTTAGTTAATTACACTTTAATCTTCTCAAATTTTTTAATATCATTTTATTAAAAAAAAAAATTTATGGCTGTACGGGGAGCAAATATTCCGCGGAGCCCGTACTCCTTTCGTCCAAGCTCCTTGTCTATCCGATCGACCTGCGAGCACAACGGCGGTAAGCTACCCGGCGGTGTGTGGCCGGAAAAACCCCTCCGACGGTCAAGTTAGGACACACCCTCAGGGAGAGAGAGAGGAAGAGAGAGATATATCACAATGAGTATTTCTCACCAAATGATGTTTCATCCATAGCATGGGGGGGCGCAGTCATGCTTGTATACTTTCTGCGTTAACCTTTGCACCCATTCGTCCATTGACACGTGGAGCTGCTCTCCTATCTGTCAGCGTAAATCCAGCTAAACAACACCTAATCAAACCGCCAGACAACATTAGCGGGAACGGATAGCCCGACAGCACCATCCCGGCCTCCTTCGACCGTGCTGCCTAACGAGCCCAACAATGCTCATCGCCGAGCACCATCACTACCGAGCTCAGCAGCACTCCGGTGCGACTGTTCTCTAGTCAAGTTAGGTCGGTCTGCGGCAGATCACGATCACCGAGCTAAAACGAGCGAACAAGAGAAGACAAGCCGGCAGAGGATTATCTCGGCCAACTCTGGTCTAGACTTCGGTCGAACAAGCTTCCTCTCAGCACGGCTTAGCCCAGCTCGGCCCAAATACGCTTGGACCACTTTCAGCCCGGCCAGAACCGCGACCCAAGCCGAGATTACGAAAATCTCCCTCTCAATTGCCCCTTAATTTCGTCTGCATTTGCGTGACCGGAATTACATTACAAGGCCGACCTCGACTTTTTGCTCGGTGGTTCCCTTTGCTTGGTTTAGAAACTTCAAAGTTGGCAAGCAAAGTCAGCTCGGCAACTTACTTCTTGGTGAATAAAATCAGCTCAGCAACTTGTTTCTTGGCGAGCAAGATCAGCTCAGCAAAGAACTCCAAGGTCGGCGAGCAAGGTCAATTCGGTGACTTTCTTCTTGGCGAGCAAGATCAGCTCGGTGACTTTCTTCTTGGCGAGCAAGATCAGCTCGGCAAGGAACTCCAAGGTAGGCGAGCAAGGTCCGCTCCGCGACTTGCTTCTTGGCGAGCTAGATCAGCTCGGCAAGGAACACCAAGGTCAGGAGCAAGGTCAGCTCTGCGACTTGCTTCTTGGCGAGCAAGATCAGCTCAGCAATGAACTCCAAGGTCGGCGAGCAAGGTCCGCTTCGCGACTTCCTTCTTGGCGAGCAAGATCAGTTCGGCAAGGAACTCCAAGGTCGGCGAGCAAGGTCAGCTCGGCGACTTTCTTCTTGGCGAGCAAGATCAGCTCGCAAGGAACTTTGTCATGACCCGAACCTGCCCTTGTGGGTTAAGGACATAACCGGCCAGTAATCATGAGATTACCTACGACCTCAAACCAAACCAGACATATTTTAACAGAGTTAACGGGGGCCAAACGGAAGAAATTTTTAAAACTTTGTCCATAGAGCTGTGCTTACATGGCACGCCAAAACAAACTATACATACATACATTAATAACTCACAACAAATATACAATACCATAAAGTTCTGCACAGACAGGATTATCCAAAACTAAGTCAACCCATGAAAACTGTATACCGACATAAACAAAGACTTCGCCAACATGACAATATAAAACAAAACGATAAAAAGACGAAGGCGAGTTTCATGCGTGAGACACATGTGCTGACTCTCCAAAACCCGGTTGTTCCATACAGACTTCACTAGGGCTGGGTCTGGACCTCTTTTAGCTCACCTACAAAGACATGAATGAGCGTGAGCGAAAGCCTAGTGAATGATATCAAATAAAGAAAATACATTGGAACATTATACATCAGACGGCCTTGGGCCCAATTCACTCATGTCAAACTGGCCTTTAGACCTTTCAAACTTTCATTTCAAACTTATCCTATAGTTGCTTTCAGAACGGCCATAGGACCAGTTTTAATCAGAACGGCTTTAAGCTCTTGAACAGAGTGGCATTGAGCCCTTAAACAGAGTGGCGTTAAGCCCCTATCAGACTGGCATTAAGCCCTTATCAGAATGGCATACAGCCCTTGTCAGAATGTATGAACTCAAGAGATGTCTCGCACGGATTCTAGAGGTGACTCACATTGTAGCACTTAGTTCCGTACAACACTTTGTTTCATACCAGAAAATACAGATTGGCCTCAGGCCTAACAGATCGTACAGAATGGCCATAGGCCTAGATTGGCTTTAAGCCCAGTTCATGTATGTATGGACTCAAGAGGTGTCTCGCACAGATTTTAGAGGTAACTCGCATTGTAGCACTTTGTTCCGTACAGCACTTTGTTCCGTACCAGAAATCATTAGGTCTTAGAGATCAAACAATTCATATCATGTCATAACATAGCATAATCGAAACAGATAGATAGAAATGGAATAATCTCAGTTTCCCAAGTATACCAATATATAATAGTGCGCATAAGTTTCTCATGGTTTATGTCAAACTGTTATTCGTGTCAGATCATTATTCGTATCAGACGGACTTTGGCCTAATACATAGCATAACATATATTTTAAATTGGGGACAAATAACATACTTCAGATATCTTTATTAAGATATTACTCACAGTGATCGGCTGATTGATTTGCCCTGGAGCTTGACCCTACATGTCACATAACACATATGAGTCACAACCGAGTCAATCCGTTCTTAATTCACATATTCCTCTTTAGGCTTAATTCTTATTCTTTTAACTCATTTACAATGCTCAATGTATGCCTAAGAGTACTTAGAAGTGAAAGTGAACGAAAAACGGAACACAGAATGCATTTTCAAAATTTCAAGAAACAGGGTCCCCGCTCGAACGTGGACTTCCCCACTTGAGCGGACCCATGAGGCCTGCAAAAGTATTGGTTATGTCGAATTTATGCTCAATCGTACACTCTGGCGCTCGAGCGGAAGGTCTCTCTACATGGCGCCCCGCTCGAGCGTGAACTTCCCCGCTCGAGTAGACACCATGTCTGCAGAAAATACTGGGAGCTAGAAATTCACGCTCGAGCGGCGGTTCTCTCGCTCGAGCGGACATCAAATTTTCTAGGTTTTCCAGAATGTGTTCTTGAGCTACAACTTGATATTCAAAGGTTCAAAATGCATGTTTTTGGCTCAATCTTCACATAAACATATACTAACATGGTATAACTACCAAATTACATCATTATGAAGCTCAATTTCACAATTTAATCACGTGCATGGCCCAAATTAACCCAAACTCATCACCAACACATCAAATTCCAACATGCAAAGTTTACACCTCCATGATCTTCACTTGCATGTGAGAGATATTCATTATTCTCAACTAAATTGGTGAAGAAATGATCAAATACATGGATTTCAAACAAGATTCATCATGGATTACACACTTTGTGCTCAATTATGGAAATTCATAGTGATTTCCTACATGCATGCACACATAGACTTCAAATTCATCAAATACAACACAATTCCATTTCTTGATCACCAACCAACTTGAATTCACAAAATCACAATATTAAACTCATGAATTAAGGGTTGATTACTCACCTAGGAGCTCTAATCTTCCAAATTTATGCTTAATTTTTGAGTTACACTTCAAAATCTTCAAGCTTCTTGAGAAATCTTCATTTTCCTACACTCTCTCTCTCTCTAATTCGGTTCTCTCGCTCTCTAAGGAGCCCAAAATCAGTCAAATGAAATAAAAGAGAGATATTGAGTGTATAGTGCCCTTAAGGTAAGTCCTACTAATCAAAAATATCAATATTAAATAATTGGGCACACAGCTCGGCAATGAACTCCAAGAGCAGGAGCAAGGTCCGCTCCGCGACTTCCTTCTTGGCGAGCAAGATCAGCTCGGCAAGGAACTCCAAGGTCAGCAAGCAAGGTCCACTCTGCGACTTCTTTCTTGGCGAGCAAGATTAGCTCGGTAATGAACTCTAAGGTCGGCGAGCAAGGTCAACTCGATGATTTTCTTCTTGGTGAGCAAGATCAGCTCGACAAGGAACTCCAAGGTTGGCGAGCAAGGTCTGCTCTGCGACTTGCTTCTTGGCGAGCAAGATCAGCTCGGCAAGGAACTCCAAGGTCAGCGAGCAAGGTCAGCTCGGCAACTTTCTTCTTGGAGAGCAAGATCAGCTCGGCAAGGAACTCGAAGAGCGGGAGCAAGGTTCGCTCTGCGACTTGCTTCTTGGCGAGCAAGATCAACTCGGCAATGAACTCCAAGGTCGGCGAGAAAGGTCAGCTCGGTGACTTTCTTCTTGGTGAGGAAGATCAGCTCGGCAAGGAAATCCAAGGTCGGCGAGCAAGGTTCGCTCCGCGACTTCCTTCTTGGCGAGTAAGATCAGCTCGGCAAGGAACTCCAAGAGCGGGAGCAAGGTCTGCTCCGCGACTTTCTTCTTGGCGAGCAAGATCAGCTCGGCAAGGAACTCCAAGGTCGGCGAGCAAGGTCAGCTCCGCAACTTGCTTCTTGGCAAACAAGATCAGCTCGGCAATGAACCCCAATAGTGGGAGCAAGGTCAGCTCAGCGACTTTCTTCTTGGCGAACAAGATCAGCTCGGCAATGAACCCCAAGAGTGGGAGCAAGGTCAGCTCGGTGACTTTCTTTTTGGCGAGCAAGATCAGCTTGGCAATGAACTCCAAAAGCGGGAGCAAGGTCCGCTCTGCGTCTATCTTCTTGGCGAGCAAGATCAGCTCGGCAAGGAACTCCAAGGCCGGCGAGCAAGGTTCGCTCTGCGACTTCCTTCTTGGCGAGCAAGATCAGCTCAGCTCTGTAAGGAACTCCAATAGCGGGAGCAAGGTCCGTTCCGCGACTTTCTTCTTGGCGAGCAAGATCAGCTCGGCAAGGAACTCCAAGGTCGGCGAGCAAGATCAGCTCGGCTACTTTCTTCTTGGCGAGCAAGATCAGCTCGGAAAAGAACTCCAAGGTCAGCGAGCAAGGTCTGCTCTGCGACTTCCTTCTTGGCTAGCAAGATCAGCTCGGCAAGGAACTCCAAGGTCGGCAAACAAGGTCAGCTCGGCGACTTTCTTCTTGGCAAGCAAGATCAGCTCGGCAAGGAACTCTAAAGTTGATCAAAACCATTAACAAATCTCTCACTGAACAAAATTCGCCCGGTAAGGAATTGCAAAGTTGAACAAAACACCAACTTTAATCTTGTCGTGGAAAATCAGCCTGGCAAGGAATTATGATCTTTCCATCAAAATGATTGTCAATTGCCCATTTTCCTCGGCCTTCTGACTGACGTCTTCCAAAACCAAACTCCCTAGATCTCTTCAATGGTTGTTTGCACAGCCATCCTTTGCGCTTCCTGCCGGCGAGTGTGCTCCTGCCACACATCCCTTAGGTCTTTCAAACGGTTGGAGCGTGAATATCCCGACGCCGTCGTCGGACGTAAGGGGTAGTAACTGCTGTCCCGCGTACAAGATGTCATCGTCGGCGTGACATAGTCTTCAGCTTTGAAGCTTCTCGTGATGAAGAGTGAAAGGGTGCGGCGTCTATTCTGACTGTCAGAACGGCGGGAGTGGACGTGCTCACTATGGTTTCTCACTCTTGTGACGCCCTTTCCCTTCATCTGGCGTCTCATGGCCTCCACCCTCGTCGCCATTTTCTTAATGATTGTATCTTGGTCTCTCAACTTGCCTTCCAGGTGCCGAGTGTATGAATCTCGCTGTCGACGATGCTCTTCTGCACCGATAGAGCGCCTAGAACTCATTGCGTGCTCGTTTCGCGCATCGCTGGGAAGACCTTGTGCGGAGGTCTCCAAATCAGCCATTGTTGGAATGGCGGACGGGTCATCTTTGCGCCGAACGGACTCTGGCGTGATGCCATCAATGGCGAGTAACGGAATGTCGTCGTGGTTTGCCATAAAAGATGACCGGAGAAGCTTGGAGGACAAGGATTTGTCTGTCGACTTCCCACAGACGGCACCAATTGTACGGGGAGCAAATATTCCGCGGAGCCTGTACTCCTTTCGTCCAAGCTCCTTGTCTATTCGATCGACCTGCGAGCACAACGGCGGTGAGCTACCCGGCGGTGTGTGGCCGGAAAACCCCTCCGACGGTCAAGTTAGCACACACCCTCAGGGAGAGAGAGAGGAAGAGAGAGATATGTCACAATGAGTGTTTCTCACCAAATGATGTTCCATCCACAGCATGGGGGGCGCAGTCATGCTTGTATACTTTCTGCATTCACCTCTGCACCCATTCGTCTATTGACACATGGAGCTGCTCTCTCATCTGTTAGCTTAAATCCAGCTAAACACCATCTAATCAAACCGCCAGACAACATTAGCGGGAACGGACAGCCCGGTAGCACCATCTCGGCCTTCTTCGACCGTACTGCCTAACGAGCCCAACAATGCTCCTCGTCGAGCACCATCACTACCGAGCTCAACAGCACTCCGGTGCGACTGTGCTGTAGCCAAGTTAGGCCGCTCTGCGGCAGATCACGATCACCGAGCTAAAACGAGCGAACAAGAAAAGATAAGCTGGCAGAGGATCATCTCGGCCAACTCTGGTCTGGACTTCGGTCGAACAAGCTTCCTCTCGGCACGGCTTAGCCCAACTCGGCCCAAATACACTTGGACCGCTGAAACCACTTTCAGCCCGGCCAGAACTGCGACCCAAGCTGAGATTACGGAAATCTCCCTCTCAATGGCTTTAGCACTTGCAATTTTGATAATTAAAATGTTTAAATATATTATTTTAAAATTGAGAGAAATAAAATGATAATATTTAGCAGTAGTTCGGGAAGATAAGGTTTAAAAAAAACAAAAATTGAACTTACAAATCCATATCCTCCAATTTTGTAGGTGGGCCCAGCTCTAATAAAGCTCTTGCAGTATCTAGCAAGGAACAGTTTGGCAACAGGGGCATCAAGAAACGCAGCTGCAATTTCTTTGGTCCTGAGGGCCTGTGCGATCTCTTCTTGTCTGTTGTAGTGCTTCATGCAATTGTGGCTGAAATTCAAAACCTGACCCAAATAATTTGCAACGAAAGACTTATTGGTGCACCCAACCATCGCATTATTGTACTTGAGAGTCTCGATATCTGCGACAGTGGGCTCGAGCCGCGGCACTGTGAGCATGCTGGTGAGGTTAGCCGTGTAGCTCTGGGTGATGACCAGTGCCACGAATAGCCACACCACCGTTGCCATCCTTGACAACTTGCTGTGTAGCTTTTCCCCTAATTATAAATGAAGTTTTAAACAAATCAACCAATCATGATTTTCTCAACTATACATGTACTTCAAGGTTATTTTGCAAAAAAATTAGTAAGTTGGGTTATTTGAATTTATAATTTTAAATTAATGGGTGAAAGCTATTTCACACAATTTATGCAGATCAATCAGTTTATTTTTTTAATCAGGAAAAAAAAAGAAGTTAGACTATCTATCTAGAGGGTGTTTTTCCAATTAATTATTATTTTTTTTTTGGGGGGGGAATCAATACCTTAATTATTTAAAAATACAAGTGTACCTTTTAGAAAATAGTAGATTTAAAATTAAATAAATAAAAAAAACAAAAAAAAAAAAACTATATTGTCTTCTATACCGTAGCAACAATTTTAGCAGTGTTAAGAAAGGTAATAATATATTACTATATTACCCTTAGTTAAAGAATTTCTCTCATTCTCCCAATATGAGTAGATACATGTGATGTTTAGACATAAGAATAAAAAATGGTAAAATAGGCAATTGTTATTTTGATGAAAGATATCATCATTTTTTATCAGTTTGACTAACGGTATTATACAAATTCTTATGAAGTTTACATTTTAAGAGGAAGGCAATAGAATTATATCAAAAATAAAACGCTAATTGTCAAGGTTATAATTATCCTATATAATTCATTCAAAATATTTTAAAAGCTCAATTTTAAATTTTGCCAAGTGAAGATAAATTAATATTGTAAAGCAACATGTATAAGAAGTTTTAATTTCAGTCTCACCGTTTAAAGAGAACAATGTGGCAAAGGTTAACCAAAGCAAGGTTCCGATTTGATTCAGTGCGGAGCCTCTGAGATCGGAGCAACGATCACGCTCGATCATCCATATGACAAAGCCATTGTAGACGTTGATCGATGCTGTGAGGACCCACATTGATTTGGTGAAAGGCTTCAAGAACAGCCAAGCTTTGTTGCTCAACTGCGATTGGACAGGGACTATCATCACCAATGCTGCGTCGGTGTACGGTTGCGAGAAGTCTACATGGTGGTATCGCTTCGCTGTTATTGCTATTGCACCAAGTGCTGCATCAAATTTCTACTCTCCATGCCCAAAAAAATATAAAATAAACTTTACTAAGAAATTATAAAAATATTAAAATGTATGATATAAATTTAAATTTAAATTTGAGTTCACACTAAATTGAGTATGTTATTAATATTAGATTATTAATTCAACGCATTGATGTAGTATTTCTGAACAAATAAGAGTGTTAGTAATGACATGAGTAAAACTAACTTTACTCATCATTTTAATCGGTTGTATTAGAGATAATTTCATCCATATTCTTTTGTGTGATTTTATTGGTTAAGAGTACCACATGCATATATCACGATTGTCTTCCGAGGATATTGAAGATTTTTTCTGAAATTAAAAAATAAAAGTAAAAAACCTCACTCTCATTAGCTATAGTTCATTGATGTAAATGGAATCCTTTTTCTTATTTTTATCAATGAAAATTGAGTGTTCTGTTGACTCAAATATCCTCTGTGTAATCAAGGTTTCATTCCTTAACTCTCTGTCTTTTATTTCTTTTGAATCGAAAAAAAAAAAAAAAAAAATTAGACTAGTTTTGAAAAGTAGAAAAAAATTTAGTTTGTTAGTATATTTTAACTTTTTTTTTAAAATAAAAAATAATGTAATACAAATAAATCAATAAATTAATAAATTAATTTTTTTTTATATTTCCAAAACACTTTAATAATCAAACAAAATTATTTTAAAATATATTGCGAGCTAGACTCACAATTAATTTGGTTACATATATATTACATCAACGGTAGGGGTGAGCATGGTCCGGATTGGACCGGATTGGAGTGAAACCAGAACCAATCCGTTATTTACGGATCCTGAAAAATTGGAACCAATCCAATCCATTTAAATCGTGGAACCAATCCGAACCAATCCATTTAAATACGGATTGGATCGGTTTAGGACCACGGATTTATATAATTAAATAACAAAAATATATATATAACACTTTATTTTCATAAAAATATAAATATAACACAATATTAGTTTCACAATAACAACATGTCTTTTCATAATAGCGACAAACTGTTCTAGAATTTAAACAACCATAAAGAAACTAGTTCCACCATAAGTATTTAGACCATTATAAATTAACATTAAAAACTAGCAAACAAAAGTAATAAAAGAAGATACTATGCAAGTTTAAGTTTGGATTTAAGTTTCATATGAAATAAGAGAAGATACTATGCAGGAGGGTGTATAATAAAAATATAAACTATTTGTATACGGTCCGGATCGGTTCCAATCCGGAACCGTGGGATTCAATCCGGAATCAATCCGTGAATTACGAATTTTTAATTTTTCAATCCGGAACCGAACCATGGATTCAAAAAACCAATCCAAACCTACTGGATTGGACTGGATCAGATCGGATTACGAATTTCGCGGATTCCTTACTCAGCCCTAATCAACGGTGCGGGGACCTGGGGTGACCCCAGCACCTACACCCCCCACCTCCCCGTGAGGCTTTGTGACAGCAAGACGATGATTAAAAAAAAAAAAAAAATTCAAGTCAATGAAAAAACAGTAAGGGTGGTAGGATCACCCCCACTAAGATCTCAGTCATTTTTCATATTACATTTTCTTGCTTCCCATCATTGTCACTAGTCATTGTCATTAGAGATATAATACATTTTTATAAACACTTTACAAAAATAATAATTAATTACGCTTAAGTAAAATTATTCACACATAAATTATTTATAAAATAGTTGACAAATAAGGCAGAAATGGATAGGGCCCACATCCGTGCAACCAATTTGTGAAAACTACCCTATTAGTCTTTAGCCTTGACTTAGGGTTGATGGGATGACATAAATAAGTGTATTTTTTATTTTTTGTAGAAAAATAGAGAAATGATGTGATGAAAAAAAGATAAAAAAATAAAAAGATAAATTATTTTGTAATAGCCAAACTTGACCATAATAATATAATTTACGTCGTTTAATACAATTTACCTCGTTCAACACAAATAAAATAAAAAAATAAAAAAATTTCTTACATGTGAATCATGATGTGAATTTATCACAACATTTATTATAATTATTCGGTAAATGACATATATATTTGTGTGTGGAGGGTCATAATATTAGAAAAATTATTAAATTCATCCTTTTTTTTTACGAGATATAGTCATTTATTTCTGGACAATGTTAAAAATCTCAAAAAAAATTAATAAAATTTCTATTTTTGAGATATTTTTGGTAGAAATTTTGATAATTTTTTTTAGAGTTTCTAACATTATTATTTAATTTTTATGATCATTTATACAAACATGTTGAATTGAGTGTTGAAGATGTAGATCTCTCACCTTCAAATAAACTTGCTCCACCAAATCATCGAACAAGCCTTCATGGCAGTGTCCACCTTTTCGGAGCAATCCTAGGTTCCCCGGGCCAAATCACCATCTTCAAGCTCTCCATACTATCATTGTACCTTTCTCCTCCATCAACGGTCCCCGAGAAACCAAACCCATCTGACCAAAATCCAATCTCTCTGTAACTCTTTCCGATCACATTAATGATCTGGAATGTTCTCACCGGAGCTACTTTCCTTTCGATGAATCGAGATTCACCGCTCAATCCATCAAACTCGGTTAACACAATGTTATCTATCAAATTATCATTGTCATTATTAGTCATCGCTGTTGCCACTAATCTCGTGGCATCGTAGGCTTGGAGTGCGGAAATCCCTGGCTCGTGATTTTCTTCATCAGGATTCTCTAACCCGAATCTCCTCCTAAATCGTGTGTAGAAATGATGGTAGTGGGACCCAGTTTCCTTGAAATATGTTCTCACTCCCAACGCGCCTTGCATTGAAGCAATGGCGAAGGGATTGATAGCATGGACAAGGCTTGCTATGGGATCGGTGATGATCCACACGTAATTCTTTTCCATCATTCCCATCTTATTCGCCTTTTTAAAAAGGCGGATGGCTAATGGAAAGGACGTGTGGACCACGAAGAACCTGCACTGCCCCTTTTTAAGTTTCTCTAGCTCTGGAGAAAATGAGGTGGAGCTAGCAAAAAATGGGAGTCCTACGAGGTGGCTTATCTCTGCACCTACTTCTTGTAAGGAGTGGTGAAGATGAGGAATGACTCCGGTGGCTGCAGAATTAGTATCCTCGTAAATCACGTTGACTTGACGCCATCCCCATGACTGCACAATGGCTGCCACCGCCTTCATTTGCGCGGATGGGCTTGGCGAGGCTTGGAGGAGGAAGGGCCACCGCGTGGTAGCCCACGGTGGAGAATCAGCAAAGGAGAGAATTGGAGTGTGGGTTTGGCTACCAATCTCTGAAACTAATGATGCCTCGTCCCATGATCTTGGCCCCAAAATGGCTTGAACATGATGTGTATTGATTAGATTTGTAGCTGCATATCAATGTGAACATATAGATACATTAGCATATTTGTTTTACTGTTGTTGTGCTTGTTGTGATGTTACTGTTTTGTATTTTTGTGTTTCTGATTTTTTTATAAAGTAATTCAATATTTTAGACTCCCTCTATTATTGTGATGTTTTTGTCTTTTTGAATTTTCTTTCATTTTCCTCACTTGAAAATAGACTCCTTCTATTATTTAAACAACAATGATTCATCTCACTAAAAACATCACCACTAATAGCACTAATGCATTAAAAAAGTAAAACAAAAATAAAAAAAATATAACTCTAAGACTAAAACATCACATCATTAATGGCGGGACCCACTGCCACTTAATTAGTGGGAGCACTAATTAGTGCTCCCAAGCATTTTTCTTATTTAAAATATTCAATTGACATAACAACTTTTGACTTGACCTTTAACACCCCCACCTATTCAATTGACATAACAACTTTTGACTTGACTTTTAACACCCCACCTCCACGTGAGAGGCTGTGGACTATGGCAAAAAAAAAACAAAAAAAAAACAAAAATATATATTTCAACCAATCACACCCTACTGGCCCAGTGGGGTATGAGGCTTTTCTCTTTTCTGAATGAGTAATGTTAGGGATCATGAAAAATATATCATGAAATATATCACGAAAATTTTTCATCCCTTGATTAGTCTTGATTACTGTGTGATGTTTTATTATATGGGTAATCCAAAGGTTGAGAAACTTTCATGATAATATTCATGATATATTTTTCATGATCCCTAACATTACTGTTTCTGAATTCACAAGATATTCTCTGTTTCACATACTTATTCCCTACCTAAACTTACACAAAAGAGAGACAAAGGGGAGAGGCATCGTTTTTATTTTATGGGTAAATTACTAGCCGATTTGACTAAAATATAAATTTTTCTTTGAACTTTGAGAAATTACATTCTATTTTTAAAATTTATATTTGCATAATAAATAGTCCCATGAGGTTTACATTTGCATAACAAATGATTTGTTATGCAAATATAAATTTCAGGAGACAATTTGTAATTTTTCAAACCTTAGAAGGAATCTGTATTTTTGTCAAACCTCGAGGAGTGTTGGTAATTTGCCCATATTTTATTTTTAATAATATATATTTTTAAAGTAGCAGAGTGTTGACCTTAGAATAGCTGCATAGTACACAATTTCAATGACTCAACAAACTTAATTATACTCATATTTTTTTTACAAGAAGCTTATTGTTTCATCATTATTTGTTAATGCTATTTAGGATAATGACATATAAAAGAATGTTTGCACAAAGTTTTCATAATGATGAAAATACTGAATAAATTTTCATTTTAAATTAGAACATCATTATATTGAATTACAATTTCAAAAACGTGTCTTATCATTTTGAATAAAAAATTGTCTGAAAAATCTATTCACTGATCATTTTCTCAAAATTTAAGTACTATAAATTGTTTATTATCATTTCAAATATAATTATACTAGCTTTCTACAAAGTATCAAATGAAGTAATCAACTGAAAAGTTACTTATGGGTGCACAGAAAAATTAATGTACAACTCAAATTCATTAATTGTGCATTAATTTTTATGTTCACATTATATATATACCAGCATGAGCTGCTTGGATTGGATCCCCGCCGGAGTCACTAACTTCCAGAATCAAACTTATATTTGTGTTGAAGTAGAAATCATCAATCGCCAATTCCATAGCAACCTTCTCTTCTCTGCCAATCCGAGAACTGAAATCCACGATAGCGCCTACAATGCTCTTCTTGAAATGGTTTGTCTCCTCCGCCATGTTCGTGCCTCCATACGCCCTTCGAGGTAGCTGGGAAAGCAACAAGACAACCAAGGTCAAGACGGAAAAGAGAAGATGTGAAACTACCTTCATTTTTTTTTATGGAATGAGCTATAACAAGCAAGTAGCCCGCCAATTTTATTCTTATAGATGTGTTAAGAAACAACAATAGCAGTTGAGAGTTGCAAAGGATTTTCGTGGTATCAACGCTTATGAAGTTTCCGTTAATGTTGGGTCAGCCAATAGGTACAAATAAAGGTGGCTTTTCGGATGGGAAAAGTCTTTTAAAAAGGGAATGCTTCCCTCCAGTCCAATTACAAACTGAAAAGTACTATTGAATTTGTGAGAATTTATCAAAAGTCTTGTTTCGATAATTTAAACTATTCAATGTGTAAAATTTATCGAATACTATATGTTTGTAAAAAATCATATTAATTGAATATCGATAGCTATATGATCAAATCAGTTTTGTAGAAAAAAAATGGATAGTGAAAAATAAACGGCTCACAAAAATCTGATTTAATCACATAACTATCGATATCCGATTAATGTGATGTTTTACAGGCATATAGTACTTCACGATTTCTACACATTAAACGATTCGAATTATCGAAACAGAACTCGTGATGGGCTCTCACGGATCCAACAGTACTCTCTAGTCCGATCATGGACTAGAGGGAACCCATTCCCTTTAAAAATACTCAAAGTTGGGTATTACCAAATCAAAAATGCTAGAAATCCTAAGAATTCTATCAAAATTTTTACCAAATATTTTATATGGGTATGGGTCTCACACCCATATGCGATATTTGATAGAATTTTTGAAATATCTAGTAGTACTCTTACGAAATTGATCAGAAAATAAGTTGAGGGTTGAGATTTAAATTGTATATTGTGGATCCATATATAAATTAAATAAGAATATTATGAATCATAAAGATGTATTTTGAATTTTATTTTCAAAAATGTAAAGTGTAGATTTAAAATTAGTAAAATGTATCACAATAAATATAATTTAATGATTCACTTTTCTAAATATATATTTTGAATTTATAATATTATTGTAGATTAAATTTGAATCACGCATCATCATATCATCATACATTCATATCATATATATGCTATTAAAAATATGTTTATCCTTAATTTTTTTTTTTTCACTTATATGTGGTGCATCTCTCTTCTCTTCATTCTTTTTTATTTTTATTTTTAAATGCAACATTATATTTATTATTTCTAAAATTTAATATTTTAAAAACTTCTGTTTAATCTGAATTACTAATAAACAAAACTTAATAGAACTATAAGTACTAAAAAATATTTTACAAAATTAATTTTATTTTGTTTTTCTCAATTTTATTAAAGTATTTTGAAAATTTTTAAAAATTCTTGAGATATTGATTCGTGATAATGTTTTAATTTTAAACAGTGAATATCAATCACAATAAAATAATCAACGACAAATTGCCACAACGATTTAACGTTGAAAAAATCACAATTTGAGCACCTCCAATTGTGATAAAAAATCACAAGCTAAAACCACAAAACAATCCGCTAAGAAGACAAAAAGAATTCCACACGAGTATCTTCATTTACCTAGCGAATCTAAGTCCGAATTGAATTAAACCCGATGTGCTTCTTCCACCACCATCTTTATTTTGAAACTGCTTTACCCAACGTTGAATCTACAACGCTGATGTCAAATCCACGATGATGAGTCACTCCGGAATCCACTAAAACTTCAGGTCCAAGTTCTTCTGAATCCACCAATGAACACTTCTTTCTTTTTGTGAATAAATGAACAAAATTAACCCTCCATGTTTATCAATATGTAATTCATTGATCAATTGATCCTCTTTTATACATGAAGAAAACCCATATAAACCACCCTTCAATGTAGAACACTTTGTATTCTGCACTTTTCTAAGAATCTGGACGAGTTAAACCGTAAAAATAGCAAACGGCACACTTTATACTAAATAAAGTCATGAAGACCACTCGAGCGCACACTTTACTGCTCAAACAGTGTGAGTAAAAGGCAGTGCAAACATATAGGCCAACTACTCAGATGATTCACTTACTGTTTGAGCACACAAATGATCGCTCGAGCGGTTAAATAACTTTGGCTTCGGCACAATAACTCAATCCCCGTACATAGTTAGAGAAGTGGTAAACAAAGAATGCGGAATACTCAAGATACGAAATGTCAACACAAACTCCTCTACACAGATACAATTCATGTTGGATTTGTATCTAAACACTTACAGCCTCACTAAAAGAAGAAAATGAATAAAATTATAATTAAAAAGAATTTTATTAAATGAGATTACCAATTACTAAAATGTAACAATTAAATATTAAAGGCATTTTTTGCCTGCTTTATTTGTATCATATTGTGGGGATGTATTTTCTGAATACCAACACGTGGCAAGGTGACACCGACGTATCAGCCGAGGTGCCACGTGTCCAGGATGTGACGCTGAGGTTATCTCGGTAAAGCCGAGGTTATCTCCGAAGATATCGGAATCCGAAATAAATGGTTAAAAGATAAGGGACAAGAGTCCTAGAGTAAAGAGGAGACTTAGCTAAGATAAGGATAAAGCTCTTAGGGAGTTTATCTTTATCTCTTGAGAAATCCAAAGTAAGCACTTAATGGGAGTCCATAGAAGTCAGGCTTCTAGTGGGATCAGGATTGAGTTGGCTATAAAAGAGAGGTACCCCCGTGGGTCTAAGGTACGCAGTTTTATGCTTTGAATAGTGAGTTTAGCACTTGATTATCTTTGAGATATACTGACTTGATCGTCGGAGTGCCCCCGGGTGGAAGAGCCACCGCCGGAGCCTTTTCTTTCTGTTGTAGGTTAGTTGAATCCATCTATTCTGCCGGTGCTCTCCAGCTAATTACTAGGCGGGCAGTGTGGTCAGAAAATCACTCACACAATTTGGCGCCGTCTGTGGGAAACTTAGAAGAATAGATGGTCAGTAACGGACAGAAGGAAAACATTGGGGGCGACACTCCTGCTGGGAGTGGAAGACTAATTGACCTTGACATTGAAGGAGACAACCACAATGCAGAAACTCATGACCAAACCCACGGCGCGAAAGACGTCGGCCAGGAGGGCGACGCTTCGAAGAGGACAGAACAAGGCAAGTACTATAACGAAGATAACCTTCAGGTATGGAGGGATAGGTGCCTACGGAGGGATGATGAAGTAAAAGAATTGGCAAACAAGTTGGCAAACCTTCAATCGGTCGTCAACTTCATGATGCAAAATAATATCATGCAGCCACCATACCCGCTGCAGGATACGCCGATACCCGCAACTAATACACAGAAGAGGGGAAGAAGATGTAACAACTCTCGTCACTGTTTACTGAATAACCACTAATTACCGTTAAATTGAAACTGATTATAACTGATAAGTGAACTGAATAAATGTAACGCCCCGACCCTTACACGTCATCGATATTGTCCGCTTTGGGTTATGCCCGCACGGATTTGTTCTTCCCAGTGGGTCACCCATCCTAGAACTACTCCAGCCTAAGCACGCTTAACTGGGAGTTCTAATAGGGATTTCACCACTTGGGAAAAGGCCTCGATGCTATATAAGGGTCCAAGTTTTTACTTTTATAGCCCAAGAACTCCCCCTCCATTCCCGATGTGGGACACCGGGGTCTTACAATAAACTACTGAACTGACTGATTGAAATTGAAACTGAATTGACTGAGTATGCCTGTTTTATTGTAATTCTATCTGTTTGGTTATTTGATTATCTGTTTGTGTCTTTGTGTTTAAACTGCCAATTGAAGGCCTTATCAGCGGCCGAATTTGAAACCGATTAGTGTTTTATGATCATCGTGATTTATGTGAATTTATAGCATCTTTATCTGAAAATCGATTTGGTATGATTAAATTAGATTAAATATTGATAAATTGCATTGTTACACTTATTCACAATTTTGCCATGCTTAGTGGCCACTACCTAGGACATCTTTGAGCCTTATTTCACTCTAACAACAAACATTTCCTCAGCTCCTTGTCCTTGCTAGCCGACCAAGAGAGAGTGATAGTAAGAATAGTGAATTCAACATAGAGATTTGGCTTGAATCTTGAAGAATTGAAAGCTTAAGTGCATAATTGAGCCTCTAAACTTGTAATTGAGGAACCTAGGTATGAATTTCATCCTTCTTATTGTGTATTTAAGTTCCTTCTAGCATGGATCATGGTAGTTGAAAGAATTAAGTCAAGAATTGGTTCATTAATGTTGAATTGGAGTTCATTCCATGCATGCATGTTTGAATTGTTGAATTTGAGTTGATTTCATGGAGAATTGTCTCATACGTGCTCATGGTTATGTTAAGTCCATGTTTTCATCTTGTTTTTGGAACAATTGGCTCCTTAGAGCATCAAATTGAAGCTTTGAAATGATTTAAATTCATGCATGTTTGCATGTTCTTCATATTTATGGAAATTGGTTTGAATTGGATTTATTTGAAACACCCTTGGGCTTTGATTTTACAAATTGAGCTTTGAATCATGTTGAAGTATGAGTTTTGATGTGTTTTCTGGAAAATTGGCCCAAGAGGATCGAAATTTATGGTTTAAAACTTGGTTTTGAGCTTGAGGTTCAAATCTGGAATTTCCAGAATTTGGACTTACGCTCGAGCGGGGTGATTGGCGCTCGAGCGTGGAAACCGTGCTCCCAGTATTTTGTTCTGTTATGAAATCCGCTCGAGCGGAATAATTGACGCTCGAGCGGGACATTGTGTCTCATGCTCGAGCGGGTGTCGAGTGCCCAATCGAGCGTGATTTTTGCCTATCCAGCACTTTTGACTGTTTTGCAGAACGCTCGAGCGGGTAAGTCTACGCTCGAGCGGAAACCTTTGTCTGCATGTCCGCTCGAGCGGAGTAACCTACGCTCGAGCGTGACCCCTGTTTTCTGAAAAGTCTGAAAATGCTTTTAAAGTGCATCTTTGCATCCTCATCTCATCCTAGGCATTCTTAGGCCTAGTTTAAGGCATCTTAGTGAGGACATAGATGTAGGACACACCGAGGCAAGTTAGGGATTAAGTTATTATTTTCCCAACTGTGTAGC